ACGTTTTGAAAGTAGTTGCAATCGATTTCTCGTGGTTTGTTTGTATATATAGAGCTAAAATACACCTATTCTGGAAAAACTCGAAGTTGGTGTTGGACATGTGGGCTTGAGCTGTAGTCGCTAAGAATGCTAAAAGTATTGCACTACATACATGGTATAATAGGTGTGTAATGTAAGATGTAATTACAGATTCTATGAAGATAGTTATACTAATTGAAAAGAAATGGCTCTGCTAGACCTATATAGATATATGACAGCAACGATTTGATTTATGTAGCGCTCAGTGAGTGTGATAACGGAATAATTGGTGTGTAACTATGTGAACTCGTTTATTATCCATGACATATTGCCCAAAGTAAAGGGTTTCCCCTTTTTCGTACATATCAATTCCAGATAGCACGCCATAGTATGTAACATCACAGGTGTGACCACAATTGCAGATTGTATATGTCAATCGATCATAATACTTCTATACATCAAAGCACATTAACCCCTCTACGAAAATGGCAGTGGCCCATTCACAAAACCGGTAGCAAAGATAGTTAAATGTACGCCTGCTACATACAAGGGGTAAAGTTGTAGGGGTAAGAGACCATAACCTCTTGGTTGCATCATGTGGTGAGATACAAAAGGCAAGGTTGTGTTATAAGGTAGAACTACCCTGTTGGGCATAAGCCTTTGGCGATTTTCCCATCGACTACAAGGATTATGGCTACATTGAGACGCAGCAGGGAAGAGGACAGCGCAGTTGTAGTGAAGCAACAAGTATTCACCATTCGATGTCCTCTCCATTAAGCAGACTCCTACCCCTGGCATCTTTGAGTAGTGTCCTAGGGCGCTTAACGTGAGTGTTTTTTCTTTGATCTGTAGATGGTGATGCGTACTGTATGCAGCTTTCGCCTTGTCCTCAATCGATAGATTACACCATGCCCGTCGTATTCCTCTTTGTGACGTCGTGCTTACATCTGTCCACCCTGGGTTTTTGGCTATTTTTCGCACACTATCTTTAAAAGTTTTCCAATTGTGCAGGAATGGGGCATACTCAACCGACCCGGACAACACGAGCAGGTACTTCCCATAATGAGGTGCAATTGTTGTCATTGTAACTAAGCTTCGATGTTTTGGATTCGAATTCTGGAGCGAATTCGAGAAGACAGCAGATTTGGAGGATTAAATAACATGCCGGATTTTCTTAGTGCCCATCCGGCCAGCTATTCAGGTTATGAACACGAGAGTACCACGGAAGAGCTCGGATGAAGAGAGATATTACCGGATATTGAGTCAACGCGAACGGCCCGCTACGGAATCGAGCAGTCGCTCCAATCGAAGGTACCTAGAAAAAAGGCCAGTCAATTTTGAGAGAACCTATCTAGCCACACATCTATAGACTGCTGCATGGGGATACAATCTCAACACCTCGTTGGGCGGGTACAACAATTTGATCGTGTGACAGCAATCGCCCGACCTTCGTCTTGCCATTCCTGCAGGTTGGACAAGCTACATAGGTTTTATTTAACTCTCCAAGAGAGCTTACCCATTTTATAATACAGATTCGGCAATACACGTGGCCTTCATTATTAGCCAATTGACTACCTTAAATGCATAATATTAACCTACCGCAAACTAGAGAAATGCGAATGGAACTTCCAGCATCTAAGCAGATAGCACATTTTAAATTGTAGAGTCGTAGCGGTCTCTGCCACCCAAAGTCCATGTGGTCGGCATGCTGGCAAGGAAGAAAGGGTGGCACACCCGGAAACTGGACACAAAAGCCACAGATGACTTTCTCATTATTAGTACGTAATATAGCTTGACATGAATAACGATAGACTTACACAACGACAATCCTTCAAAACATACGCAAGGCTGGCTCTTCCGCTACCTACTTCAAGTGTTTTTGAGCATATGGCGCAGTTTTCTCCCTCAGTGGTAAGATCAATGCAAAGTGATTTTCGAGTCGAAAACATTACTGAATTGAAAGAAAATATAGCTTTGTTTAGTTTATGGATCTTGTGACGTACATATACGAATGTTTTGAAAAGAGCGGTTAATTAGATCTAGATGCAGATTGCCTATAGATGGTTAATGTCAGACACGTACGAACCTTATAACCATTGTCACTATACGTGCTAAGAAGTAAGTCAAGGGAATATATATTTAGAAGTCAAACTATCTACATTTAGCGGTTCTAGTGGCCGCGTGCTTTAGGCTGCGGCCTTACAATACTCTCAGGGAGCTCGGCAAGCGCTTCGATGTTGGGAGATTCCTTTCTGTGAAGGCTACAACTATTCTGTACACAACCTTTTACGTCGTTTTCTGCATGATTTATATAATAGTAGTGATTAACTTTGATGACTGGTCTTCTGCTATCCCTTAAGGCTCTTTCTATTAGGCGTTGAGTTTTGGTACATGTCTTTCTTGAACAGACTTGAACATCTTGAGTGTGTTGAGCGCGGCTAGATCGTCGTTTACCACACAGTAAACAAAGACTTTGTCTGGTATTGTGCACCATGGTACTAGTAGAAAAGGTTAAAAACAGGAACTTATTGGTGCTGGAATATTTCAGCACTCAGAATGCGGGCGAAATAACTTTTGATCAGTAATAGCGTATCGCGTTCTTATATTTATGATAGCTACAGTCATAAACGAATGTGTCCTTAATTTCGGATACCGAAACAGTGTATAATTTAGTCAAAACAACCAATAAAGCTTTTCAGGGCTAGAAGGCGTAGCAACAACACATTATGGCAAGTACTGTAGTACTTTTCTCAATGCCCTTTTTTGACGGTGCAGGGACTGACACATTTAACAACGAGAGCCGGCCAGTCGACTGCATAGTCTTATGAATGTTAACAATCTAGAAAAACTAGTTACCTGTACGAATCATTTGTCTCCCCTACTCGAAGCTATCTTGCCCATGCTGAAGTAGTGGAGTCTTAAAGATAATTCAACTAGATTGAAGCGCAAGAGCTCTAACCCGTTCTTTGTTATCTGAGCCACACAAGCCGCCATCGTCTCCGAGCTCTAGAAAGCGGATTTGGCTGTTATCTGGAAGTGGATTGGCTACGATTGGTGGATTGATGCCTTTGTACCGCTGTGGGTAACGAATCCACACATTTTGCGGAACATAGCACCGAGACCAGGCTGCATTCTGTGAATCTGGTGTTTCTGGATTTTCCTGAAGGTTGGCAATATACATAGGATGACCAGATGGAATTTCGGTCAGGGATCGTACTGCTACCAACCGGATAGGCGAGCATGACATATAGAACTCTCGATTGCCGGATGAATTTAGCCAGGTCCTGTTGAGTCAGTAGCGCACTGTGGCGGGAGAGTCTGACTTACCATGCGAAGATTACCGCATCTCCCCCTGGAAGGGAAGCAGGAATATCGAAAGAGTAATCTTGATCAATGTCATAAGAATTTGTAAGTTTGCCTTCTTGACCCTTTCGTACACGAACGCAGTTTCCTTCCCAGCTTTGCACGACAATCCAGGTTTCCCCATTATCGTAGGAAAATGATGCCTGACAAGAGCCTCCTGAATGAGCTGCGCCCGGATCGTGCATGCCAGCGCCAGTCGTGTTTGTAGAGTCATAAATCCTATTGGCATGCCATAAGCCATTTTCTAGAGTTATTAGAGTATGAGATTACATACTGAAACGTTACCGTACTCCCAGTATACCAAGTGGCATCAGGTGAATGATGAGTCACATTTCTATGATAGGCTTTGCAAGGAAAGGGTTGCTGACCCCAGCCTGGACCTTGGTAGTTTGGATCACCATTCAATGGCATGATCAGCTTTGCCACCTGTAGATCCCAGCGAAAGGGTGCAGGCTCGCCCACAAAGACATGTGAACGAACTATTGAGATTAGCAAAAAAGCCAAGGCAGATTTGATTTTCATGCTGAGAGTCCGAAATGTACAAGAGGAAATTTTCAGGTTGTGGTTGTATGTAATGTTAGGCAATGCCTCCTATTTTATACCATGCTCTCACCAACTTCGAGTTTTTCTAGAATAGGTGTATTTTAACTCTATATATACAAACAAACCACAAGAAATCGATTGCAACTACTTTCAAAACGGGCA